AAGTTGTTTGTTTTTCTATTAAATTATTCTTCTTCCAACTTTTTTCCCATTATTTTTCACTAACATTCATTGTTTGATTTTAGTGGTGGAATTAACCACCTCGCAGGGGGGGTGTTCTAATGCTCAATATACTATTTTAAAACGTTTTCTCAATTAATATAATTATAAAACTTTATCTTATCCTCACCATTTCGCCTTATTTTGAAGAATATTTTAGCGTTTTACTAAAAATTAAATGGTAAACCGATTTTTGGGCTACGGACTGGGATTTAGTATAAAAAATTACACAAAATCTATGTCTTCATGTCCGTGGCACAGAACGGTTTTTGTGGAGCTGTGTTATTAGCCCAAGTTTCATTTATTTACTAATACTTAAGATATCTGAATAAACATGATCTTTTCTCTGTTTCTCGATAGCCAGTGGTTTTAAGCCATTGGCTTTTCGAGCTAAAATAATAACATTGACTTAGGCACTGTATGTTTTAAGATCTGTAGGCATAATAGAAGGGGATATTATGGAATTCTGTGAATTCTGAGAAAACCAATAAAAGTAATGTAATGTAAAGTACTTTAAATAAATCGTTGGTCATATTAAAATAACCTGGTGATTTTAAAATTTTTAAGAGTAAATACAGGGTGTTCCTGAAAAGTATGGACAACGCTGACCACAGGTTCCTTAGATGAAAATAAGACTAGTCTAACTTACCTATATACACAAATGCACGCCTATGAGATATAGCCTTCTAAATATAGAACAGATAATCTGTTTTTTTCAAATAATTTGAAAACTATTTTTCTTAGAAACCTCAAATTTGGTACACATATTGTTCAACAAAAGTGTAAATTACAGCCACAGTAAAGAAGATATTAAAAAACAAGGTAAGCAAAAATGAAATGACACCTAGCTTGACACTGAATCTTTTAATTATTGTTATGATTTTTTTCTTTGTTATATGGCACCTACGTACTAGACTGATCTATTTATTATCTATAAATTTATTTTATATTTAATGTTTAAAAAATGCCAAATTTACTCGAAATCTATAAACGATATTAAAATTTTGTAAGAGGCAAAAAATAGTGCTTATTTTTGAAAATATAAATTCTGGCGTCACTGCCGTACACATAAAAAAGTTACGGGTTAGCCAGTGGCGCACAGGCACTAGAAAGGGAACATCCTGTATATTCTCACCAAATTCTGTATTTACATTGACCTTATATAAGAAGATATGTGTATCAAATTTGAGGTTTCTAAGAAAAATAGTTTTCAAATTATTTGAAACAAAAGAGATATGTATATCAAATTTGAAGTTTCTAAGAAAAATAGATTTCAAATTATTTGAAACAAAAAATATATGTGTATCAAATTTGAAGTTTATAAGATAAATAGTTTTCAAATTATTTGAAAGAAAAACTAGGTTATCTGTTCTATATTTAGAAGGCGTGCACTTTCGTATATAGGTAAATTAGGCTAAGTAGTCTTATTTTCATTCAAGGAACCTGTGGTCAAACATTGTCCATACTTTTCAGGGGCACCCTGTATATTGAAATAATTAATTATTGTTTTATATTAAAAATATAAATAGGTTTTAGTGATGTTTTTGAAGATTTTAATAGATGTTTTTAACTAAAAAAAAATGAAAAAGGTACAAATTTATATTCAAGGAATGAACGAATTTTAAATAAAACCAAAAAACACCTTTGGCTGCTAATATTCCTTCCTTGCGTCCCATTTTTAATTTAAAATAAATGTGCAAATGATATTCATATTAGAGTCATCTTTATTTAATTGTTGATTCGTCAGATAACTAATATGGTAAGTGTTAATTGTTTATTTTTCTTCATTTCCAAATTTGACACCCTAAATATTCCATATTTCCTTACCATTTTTTTGGAGAAGATAAAAATGTATTATCGATAGAGAAAATAGTGCTTTACATTTTTTTAAATAAGGCATTACCAAATACTCTCAAATCTTGTTTTCTATATCATTTGGTATTATTATTTTTACAAATCGATCTAGTTTAAAGAAATGGTCATAATACCCTAGGCCCTAGGCTGTCGACTGTTATTAAAAGTTAGTTTGTCTCTATGAAAAAATAAGTACGTACATTAATTGTTTTCAGAAATCGCGCTATAGACAACTTAATTTCCATTGACTTGGATGCCGCAGTTGCCCTACGAAAAAATATATTGACGCAAAAGTGAGGCTTTTAATCAAATGTTTTGTTTACGACCGTCAGTAATTTCGTACATGATGACATTATTAAATGACGCAAGACCTCTAATCTAAACTATAAAAAGCAATTGTTTTATCATTAGCGTATTACTTAAACATGGCGATTACGCACGATCTATTGTTTGTTAACGTTTTATGCACTAGTTGTCATTCATAAATACGGTGATATATTAATGAAATAACGTAACGTTTAATCCTCTATTAGGTAATGAATCTATGGCTGTTCATTATGTTAACATGGCATTAACTAGATATGATATACATCATATGATTCCTGTTATGTGTATAAACAACATAACTCATTCATGGATTTATTTTACGTTGAATGTAACAAGGTCTTTTGTGTAGGTATACAGCGTGTCTCAAATTGGAAGCGACAACACTGCTACCTCGAAAACCATTAGAGATAGAAAAATGATTAAATTTGCGCATAGTTCCGTAATTTAGTTTGCAATAATTTTTTAGGGGTAAACTTTCGAAGGTTTTTAATAAATGTTGTTTTCCGGGTTTAACTGAAAAATTAGTCGAAACTAGAATAATATGAAATCAAATATTCAGAGCAAAGTTTCGATCTATTAACTTTATTTTTAAAATTTTCAATCCAATTTGTAGTTTTAATTTTATTACGAGCTAAAATTTTATGATTACGGATATAAAAAACGGATATCAAAAAAAGATCATCTATTTTTTTCTATGATACTAATGTAAGTCATAATTTAGCACGTTACACCTGTCGACTAAATCTGTTTTAGTTTTATCCTTGTTTTATACAGGGTGGCCAAATGAAAAAGAAACAGAGCCATTTTCGGGAAATGTGTCAAGATTGTAGAAAAACGCTCAGACCCGTCGATTTTAGATTAAAGGGGGAAATTCTTTGCTGGTATTTTTGACTCCGCCACTTTCACCCCTCAAGCAAGGGTAAGCATCATCCCAAAATATTTAAATGGCATTGGGGGTTGAGTAATATTTCTTTTGAAAGCTCTTACAATTCTCTTTACAATAGACTTTAAATTTTATAATTCCGCCCAATACTTATTAAGAATTTTGATTTTTAAGTTAAAACTTATGTACAAACAATTAGTAATGGTAAAAATGTCAGTCATTCGAGTTAAGTACGCCAATGGTATAAATTTAGTATTTCTTGCATTACAATGGTTTTCGGCGATTTGTTATCACATTCGTAAAAAAATCAATTGTAAAAAACAAAAATGAATGCTATACACACACAATGAACGTAAAATTAGTGGATTCCAAATTATTTTCTAGTATTATTTGGAAGCGTTGATTGGTAGTTTATTTGATTGTATTTTTGAAAATTAAACACTATGGTTTATTCCATTGCGGAAAGGGTAGATATCATTTCGCTTTACTTTATGAACAATAAATGTGCGAATAGAACAGCTCAGCTATTTAATGAACAACATCAAGATCGACATGTCAGGAGGAAGTATGTTCTATAGAGTTAGTAAAAAAATTTCAAGAGAAAGGGAACGTAGCCAATAAAAAACGAGAAATTGAAAAACCTATAGTTAATGAAGCTAGTGAAGTTGCAGTTTTGGGACAAGTTCATCTTGATCCTACATTAAGTACGAGGCATCAGGTATCTGTGTCTGGGATCAATCGAACTAGCATACATACCATTTTGAAGAAGAATAAATTCCATCCATGCAAAATACATTTAGTCCAGGAACTTCAGGAGGATGATTATGACCGCCGTTTTCAATTTTGCGAAATAATGAGTGAGCGAGCAGGGAACGATCCACAGTTCCGTTTTAACATCTGTTTTTCTGATGAATGCAGTTTTTTCTTGAACGGGTCTGTAAATCGTCACAATTGCCGCTATTGGTCCGATTCAAACCCAAGAGTTTTTCACGAGGTGCATACACAGCAACCGGAAAAATTAAATGCATGGGCTGGATTTTTCGGTGACCGGCTGGTGGGTCCTTTTTTTCTACCTGGTAATTTGACTGGCCAAATGTATTTGCAATTACTGGAAGACGCTATTGACCCTGACTTGACTGATGTTATTGAAAATGTTCCAGAATATGATGAAGCTCATTTGATTCTTCAACAGGACGGTGCTCCTGGACCAACGTTTTCTACGGAATTGGATTGGGAGAAGAGGCAGCATTGAGTGGCCTTCACGATCACCAGATTTATCGCCCCTTGATTTCTTTTTGTGGAGATACCTAAAAAGTAAAATCTATAAAACACAGCCAGCGTCGCTGGAAGATTTGCGTCAAAGAATCGTCGACGAATGCAGTCGAATCACCCCAGAAATGCTTCGGAATGTGCGCGAACATTTAGAACAAAATCTTTATTCTTATATGGAAGCGGGCGGTCATCAGTTTGAACATTTAATCAACTAAGTAGTAAGTAAGCAACTAAACATCAGTCTGTTGTAAAGAGAATTGAAAGAGCTTTCAAAAGAAATATTATTCAACCCCCAATACCATTTAAATATTTTGGGGTGATGCTTACCCTTGCTTGGGGGTAAAGTGGCGGAGTCAAAAATACCAGCAAAGAATGTCCCCCTTTAATCTAAAATCGACGGGTCTGAGCGTTTTTCTACAATCTTGACGCAGTTCCTGAAAATGGCTCTGTTTCGTTTTCATTTGGCCACCCTGTATAGTTTCTTAATTTCCAGTTAAATAACGAAATATCTGTAAAGCTGGCAAACATCCCATTTGTAATATTTAGTTACACTGATTATAAAAATTCTGCTCGATGTCACATCACCAACAGCAAACGTTTGTTCCAGGTCGTCTGGGTATGTATCCTCTGTCGCAAAAAACAAGAACTGTTGGGCAGGACCGGTCAGTGGATGATGGGCGGCACCAATACTGAAACGGACATTCCTCAGATCCAGCAGGCACCTTCCGATAAGAGACCCAAGCTGGAGAGGGCGCACTCCGCGGCTGAAAAGGAAAATCAGCCCCTGCAGAGGTCGGGCAGCGTATTGAGGAGACAGTACTCGGAGCAGGAGCCTCGCGCGCCCTCCTGTGAGCGATACCAGCAGTTCAACGAAGATGACCCCAGGTACTACCAGGGGGAACTCGAGGGGCTGATGAGGACCCATCCCCATCTCGTGCCAAGAAGGTAGGGTGATTGTGACTTACTCTTGGTTAGATACGGTGATGGCCCATTAGAATTATTTCAGAAACTACTTCGATTTGAATTTTGAAAATTTGGGATACCGGGTTTTCGGGCATGCCCTTCTCAACTAAAATAGTGGCGTCCACGTACCACTTACGGTTATACCGGATGTCGCCATCAACTTGCTTATTTTAAATGGATCATCCTATATATTATTGCAATTTGGGATTCTACGTGTTATTTTAGGTGGACTTTTATGAAGTCTCCCTATTCCTAAAATTAACCGTTTTCGAGATATTTAATTTTTTTTCAAAAAAATGGAGAGAAACAGTGACTAGCTTCAAACCATGTGTATATTATAGTAAAAAAGATACAGCAACAATAATTATAGAGGGGGACCCCTAAGCTTTCCATCCATACTTCCAAAGTGGCTTAATTGCATACAGGGTGCTAGAAATTTAATACCGAGTTTAGTTAACTTCAAACCTTCATAAGTCGTTTTTTTTAATGGACAACCCTGTATGTTTTTCTATATTCTGATACACAATTTTATTCTCTTTCGAACGGTATCAGGGTTCCCTATACCTATCTCTTCTAGTTTTTAAGTTATCTACTATTTTTTGTGTAATCACCTAATCATGTTATTTCTTGCGAGGATAGCTGTGGATTTTTAGCAAAACTTCAAGACAAGCAACTAAAATGTCAATTTGTTGTTAGTATCTTGCAGTGACAGTTTAATTTAGTGTTTATAATAAATGGAAAACAGTACATATTCAAATGCTGATATTTTAAATTTATTATTCATTCATGGACGTTGCAATGGGATTATAAGCAGAACATGTACAATTTTTAATGAGACATCCAAATTTGCCACCAATGAGTAGAACAAAGTTAAGAAGAATGTTAGCAAATCAACTAAAGTATGGTCGAATTTGTGCAGAAAGTATTTTACCAAAACCAATAACTCTACCAAATGAAGATAATGTAATAAATGTGCTAGCCTATTTTAATGTTCATCCAGAATCCTCAACTCGTACCGCAGAGTATGATTTAAGCATTTCACGAGCGACCATTCACAGGATGCTAAGAACTAATGATATGCATCCATACAAATTTAAGCTACTTTCTGCTCTTCATTCGGGTGACGCCGTGCAACGTGTACAATTTTGTGAAACGAAGTTAGTGCGATACCAAGAACATATGGACAGGCGAGACAAAATTTACGAGAGAAGGTATTTTTAATGGACATAATACTCATTTGTGGTCATCTGAAAATCCTCATGTTATCCGGGAAAGAAACTTTCAAAATAAATTTAGCGTAAATGTTTTTTGTCTAATTAAAGATAACGCCATATAACAAATTTCTTACCATATCTACGAAGAAAATTTAAATGCCGACATATCTCAATATTTTGCAAACGGTTGTGGCAGATTTTCTAGATGATATACCTTTAGACCAACTAAGGAAGTGTTGGTATCAATTAGACGGGGCTCCACCTCACTGTCACAATCAAATCAATCAACAGCTGACTGAAATGTTTGAAGATAAATTGATGAGACGCCTAGGACCGTGGAATTGGCCAGTGAGGTTTCCCGACCTCACTCCATTAGATTTTTATGTTTGGGGAGTAATAAAGCAAAAAGTTTATTGCTTCCCCGTTGCTTCAATGCTTCAAAAGAGGATTTGATTGGTCGAATACGAAGAGCGCTCCATGAATTGCCTTCAGTGCTTAGTTGTTAATGGGGGTCATATTATGACTTTTTTAAGTCATTTTTTTATCTTATTATTATTATCAACATACATAATTAAAATTGTGTATTACTATGGATGAAGTTGATTTTTTAGAATTCTTCTTAACTTTATTCTGCTCATTGGAGGAAAATTGGGACATGTCTTATTAAAAAGTGTAAATGTTAAGCTTAGAATCCCATTGCAACGTCTGTGAATAGATAATAATAAATAACTGGTGACAGTTTAGTTGTTTGTTTTGAAGTTTTGCTAAAAATTCCACACCTATCTTCGCAAGAAATTACCTACATGATTTTAGGTGATTACTCAAAAAAATAGTAGATAATTTAAAAAGTAGAAGAGATATGTATAGGAAACCCTGATACCGTTCGACAGAGAATAAAATTGTGCATCAGAATATAGAAAAACATGCAGGGTGTTCCATTAAAAAAAACCGACTTATGAAGGTTTGAAGTTAACTAAACTCGGCATTAAATTTCTAGCACCCTGTATGCAATCAAGCCACTTTGAAAGTATGGATGGGAACCTTAGGAGTTCAGCTATCCCCCCTATAAATATTGTTACTTTGTCTTTTTTTACTATAAAATACATATGGTTTGAAGCTAGTCACTGTTTCTCTCCATTTTTTTTTGCAAAAAAATTAAATATCTCGAAAATGGTTAATTTTAGGAACAGGGAAACTTCATAAAAGTCCACCTAAAATAACACGTAGAATCCAAAATGGCAATAATATATAGGGTGTTTCATTTAAAATAAGCAAGTTGATTACGACTTCCGGTATAACCGGAAGTGGTACGTGGACGCCATTATTTTAGTTGAGAAGGGCATGCCCGAAAACCCGGTATCCCAAATTTTTAAAATTCAAATCGAAGTCACCGTGAGACACCCTGTATAATAATACCCAAAAAGAGCATTAAATAGATCTATGGTATTTAAAAAGGGTTAGACAATAATGCAATACTAGAACATTAAAGAAATGAGATTAAGACAGACTTCATTATGTAAAAAAATAAGAAAATAGAAATAATAATGAAATGAGTAAACACTAAATGACAGAAAAATTATTAATAATACAATAATATTAAAAATGATTATAAATAATAACACAAAAAACAAACACAAACAAACAACAGCTGAAAATAATAAAAACAATTTAAAAACAATATTCATCTATCTAGTATATGTTTTTGCTATTAAAATTTATTTCAGCTTTGTTTTTGGACTTATTTTTATTTATGAAAAGTTCTATGATTCCCTGTCTATGGATTTCTTTCTGTAGACAATGGGGTTTTGGATTTTTCATATTTTACACGTATTGCGTAAATGGTTTTTGATCATTTATATGCAGATACAAATTTATATTTCTAAATTCTAAATACGGTTCTTCTAATGATGTATTTATATATTAATAATTTCTTTTTTCTGAGATTTGATACTTATCTTTCGATCCAGGTATCCAGATCCAGAACCAGATCCATTACCGATGGAACTCTCCCAGCAGAGGGTCCCATCCGCAGCAAGTGCCAATAAAAAACACAAACGTAGCGGTTCAACAAAGAAACAACACCCTCCTCCACAAGTGCAATTGCCTTCCTACTCTAGTTCCGAAGAAGATCTCAAGTCCACGCCGGAATACGGCAGCGACGAGAGAGACAGCGAAAAGGGTAAGGCTAAGTGTTAGATGTGCTACGTGTGCTCTTCTAGACATAGATCTTAGTTAAGGGATTGTTGTATATATTAAAGTTGCCATCTTAAGGTTGTTGCTCCCATCTCGTAGACTCTCCAGAGCTGTTTTCATTTCCCCGTAGCTTTAAGTTCACTGATGTATAAACGTGAGCGTAAGTAAGAAAATATAGTATTCCATTCAAGACTTTATTTTGAGGAGCTGAGACTAAATTTGATGAATACGTTGGGAATCTTGCATAACTGGTACATTACCATGAAATTTATTTTATTCGGAGTGTCTAAACATGTGTTAAATAAAATTCTTTCAATAAACGAGTCCTAAATTACAAATGATTTGCACTATAAACTCAGTATTGTACCTACGAAAAAAAATTGGCATTTTTTTAAATTACCCAAGAAAAAATACTGGTAATGACCAATGGGTAAATCAGAAAATACGAGAAGTTATTAAGGACTGTATTGTTTTACAACGTTGTTAAAAGAGCAATTCATATTTCGACATAGTTTCTCTTCTTTGCAATACACCTAGTCTACCTGTCCACAAAGCTGAAGATGCCTTCCAAGCCAACTGTAGATGAAAACAATCATTGAAGTAAAATACTCGTCATCTTCATTTCGCATTTCATGTACCAAACTCAAGGTTCACTCTTCGTTAGGAAATTAGTTACACCGACTATCTTTTGAGATGCCAGTGGTCTTATATTTATAACCTTCCAAGAAAAAGATACAATTACTCGAAATAGTGACGCGCTAGGGAACAATTGAAAAAGAGAACAAACACTTGCCATCAAACTGCTGCTCATACACTACACTGAGAAAATAATTCACTTGAAAATGTACTTGCCTCAAAAAAAAAGTTATGCAATAACGGACAGTTAAACAATTCAATTGTATGTAACTATGGTTATTAGCACTAACTAAAATTTTGTGATATAATAATTATCTTAATTATGTTTAAATGTAGTGTTGTAGTGATATTTCCATTGTACCAAGTAGTTTATCTCAGATATATAATTAAATTGTGTGTAATGTATACAACGGAAGACCACAGATTCGTGGACTCAAAATAGGCAGATTTAGACTAATTCACCTATATCCGAGCTTAAATCCGAAATCACTTCGTTTGGCCGCTAGATGGCCTCAAAGTTTGTGAAAATTTTTTGAATTTTGTAAATAACTCGAATACGTATTATTTGATTTTGATTATTTTTGGGGTGTGGACTTTTGCTTTCAATCTACACATTTGGTGTTAAACAGTGTTTTTTTAAAACTTACAACTCTTATAAAACTGATGTGTGGTGAGAATATCCTTTCATAACTTTTTCCTCTCTTGGGCAATAATGACTACTACTATTTTTTATTTGATATGTGATATCATTTGGATGTTTTTGGGCCTCTTGTACAATTTTAATTAAATGAGCGGTTTGGGTACATAAAAATAAGTTTTAAATGTATACATTATCTTGCCACCCATACTACAATAACTTAACAAAGTGCCAGAAGGCTCTGATTTTGTAGGTTTACAGTAATTTCGGTTTGATCTTTAAATCATTGCCAATTCTGTTTTACTAGAAACGGAATTGGCAAGTATAATAATAAATATTCAGAATGAACTCAAGAAAATCCACATTCACAAAGTGAAAGCATGAATTTCGCATCCATTTTTGGTCTGGGATCATTGATATCATTATTATTGGCTCTATTATTCTACCCCATAGACTGAATGGGGAAATTTATTTGCAATTTTTGCAAAACCCGAATAATTGAAAGATGTGCCCTTACTCAGAGTTTATGTATGATGGCGCTCCACCACATTTCACTGTAAATGTCCGGCAGTATCTGAACCAAAGATTCCCTCGTCGATGAAACGGTAGAGAGATAATGTTTCTGTTAACTGGCCTATACATTCACCAGACTTAACACCTTATCTTTGGGACACTCTGAAAACACATCTAACACTGAAGAAGAGTTGTGGAGACATATCCAAAATACCATATAATGTTTTAAAAAATAACCCTTAAGAACTGCAAAGGGTGTCATTTAACTTTCTTCGCCGAATTAACCTTCTTTGTTGTAGAAACAATGATGGTCATTTTGAATAGTTTTTATAATAAGTTGTACTAAATTTAATAACATCAACTTTGTTACTTTTATCTCCAGCATTTTTCATTGTATTTGAAGAATTATTTCAATAAAATTAGGCACGTTGTAAATAACTCTTAATTCGTCTTATGTGTGTATCCATATCGAAAAATGAAGTAACGTGTGATTATATCTTATCGTAGTAAACACTCATTATGAATTGGCAGGTACAATTACTTAAAGATCAAACTGAAATTAATCAACATACAAAATCAGTTAAGTATTGTAATATGGGTCACAAGATAACGTATATTTAAAACATATTTTTTTGTACCCAAACCGCTCATTTATTCAAAATTCTATTAGAGGCCCAAAAACTTCCAAATATACCGTATCAAGTAAAAAATAGTTGTCGTTATTGTCCGAAAGAGGAAAAACTTATGAACGGTTATTATCACCAATATATCAATTTAGTAGGAATTTTGAGTTTTAAAAAACACTCTGTATGACACCAAAATTTGTAGATTGAAAATAAAAGTCTACACCCCAAAAATAATCAAAATCGATTAATACATAATTCGAGTTATTTACAAAATTCAAAAAAAATTTCCCGAACTTTGAGGCCATTTTGCGGCTAAACAAAGCGATTTCAGATATAGGTGAGTTAACCTAAATCTGCCTATTTTGAGTCCACGAATCTGTGGTCTTCCGTTGTACACGTTATTCTGTGACACGCTGTATTATTAGGTTAGCTTTATTTTCGAATGTACATTAGAGACAAGAACTTTTTTCACTATAACAGTACATGCACCTTTTACTTATCTTTAAACACTTATCTACTCATTTGTCATAGATAAAAAATAATAGCTAGGTAGTCCAATATATTAAATTCCAAAGTATCTTGTGCCCAAAGGATCAGCTAAGGGTGGTTTAAAAAAATAATTTTGTCCTACTAAAAAGTTAAATCGAAATATGTAGATATACCATATAAAAGCAAAGTTCCCTTTTGAAATCAGTATTAGTAAACTATTAGTAGAATGCATTTTTGTCATAAATTGTGAACTTTTGTATATTTACTTACGTATTGTGAAAAAAGATATGATGTGATTATTGCATAACAATTTATTTTGTAATGAATGAGTAAATAAATAAGCGACTTTAATACATATGTCTTATAACCACAACAGTATGATTATCACAAACGTAAAACCAAATTAATGAATTCCAGTGATCTCGCTAATGTATAATATACTAGCACGATGACTTAAAATTAGGCTTACGATGTGCACCATCGTTCTTCTTGTGTTAACTTCTGTACCACTGTGTACAGTGATACGTTTATTGTGGCAATAATATAAGTTTCAATAAACTTATTAATAAATCACAATTATCTAACTAGTAGTAACAATGCTGATGACTGATTTAGTTGACTCATGATTATAAGGGAAGTCAATTTTAATATTTAGTGAAGCACCTTACTAATCACGTAATATGATGTAGTGATTCAGAAGCATGCGCATCGAAATCTTATTTTACTGCAAGCTGATATGCAAGGTACCTGCAACAGTTAAAATAAATATTTATTGTAATTCATTTTTGTAACATTTTTGAATTTTTGAATTGGACGTTATTTCTCAGTGTAGATATGCTAGACATTCAAGTATTGCAAAATTCAAATCAAATAATAATAAGGCTATTGGTTAAAATATACAAGAACTTTTTTTATAAAGAACATTCATAAGCTCATGGACAGATAGGCCAAGTGTGTTGCAAGAAGGGTTGTTAAAAAATAAGACAAATAAGTCTATAAGCACTCTTGCAACAATATTATAAAACTGTTGTTATTAAATGACTTGTTCTAACTTGTTCTGACTTGTTAACTAAAATTTACATTTTGTAATCAATTTTTAAAATCTACGTTTCTTCATCACTGTTTCTAAGTGAATTTTGTGGAAACACTACTATTTTTTTAATATCTACTAGTTTTTGAGCTATTTTGGTATTTAATAGATTTATAACAAGTATTAACCAAACTTAGTTTCAGTTTAAAAAATGATGGTTACAATGAGTTGATGTTGATGTAATTTGGCCAGTTTAAGACTATTTTGCGATTTACAGGCAGTCACGAACGAGATAAAATATCCGATAGATTGAGTCGCCAGGCCATTCTCGATGAGAAAATCAAAAAGTTTCTGGCGGTGAGAATCGACCCATCTTTCTGCGTTGGTTGGTGTTGTTGACATGCATGAAGATGTTCACGCTGCTTGCGCACTTTTCTTCTTGCATTTGTCAGTTTCTTGTCTCCATCTTCTTGTAAAGTATCCGTTGAATATCGCGCGAAGCCAGTTTGGTAATCAGTCGTTTTCATCCTTTCATCTTCACCGATCAAGTAGATTCCTACAATTTTTTTAGTTTCGTATAGTTACAGTGTCTTGTAAATTTACTTTTAAAACTACTAAAACGTATTGCTAGGTTAGTATTGATACAGAAGTTCTAAGGGTCGATTTTAATTATCTATAAAATATGTTACTCGGAAGTATTTGGTTAATGGTGATATATTTGTACGAAGTCATAAAAAATATGTTATGTATTTTCAGCATTCCTGTCAGTAAAGTGATATAGAAAACTGAAATTAATACTTATATCGTTTATAAACAAATAGATTCAAAATTAATGTTATTGAATATTAATTGAATATTACTCTTGACAGATTTCTTTCTAGTATTTTATAATTTCAACTATAAGTAAATAATACTTTTCTTTATCTCATTCTTAAAAAAATATTTCTTCGTAATAGGATTTTACAATCATATCTTCAAATACCAGGTGGATCAAGGTAAAGTTTCTCAGTAGATTATTTTGAGAGCTATAAATTTGTAAGTAGAACATCAGAAGA